TCCTAACATATCCGATAAAGAATTAGAAATTTATGAATCAAGGTATGTTTATGCTTCCGCTATTTTCATTCTTATTAATTTCAACATGGATGGTTATATTTGAGAATTAAGGATTTGATTATTGTTTTGATCGATAATCTTATCATGTGTTATTCCAACAATTGACCCTCTTACTACCCTTTTATTCTTTGCAGTAGCAACCTTGTTTCTAGCATTTTTTTGGACCATCAATCTCCTACAAATATTCAACAATGATTTCAAGTTTTGTCTAGGTTTGCACAAAAGATTCAGTCTTCCACTTTTCCATTATCTAGGCGTTGGGATCGACTGAAATTTGGAGGAGTTGTTGGTGGTGGTGGTTAGTTGTTTCTTAGATTTTTATTTTTTGTGGAGTTTAATTCGATTGTCATTTTCGAGGAAGAAGATTCTTGTAGATTGATTTGGGGAAGAAGACACTTTGTTTTTAATTTGGGATTCAGAGAATTTGATTTGGGGGAAATTGGCATTTGGGTAAAAATATGTGTTTAGTTTGAATTGTATGACAATCTGACAGAAGTTAACAATGTCAATAGGCCACGTCAGCTTTCTGTTACATAAGTGGACTTTTCCGTTAATGAGTGATGGGTAGGTAAATAATTAAATAGATGAATGATAATTGAGTAGCTTTTTTTTTTTATTCAGAGGGCAAGTGGTAACCTAGATAAAGTTTTGTGGTTATTGATTCAATCAACTCCCAATATTCCCAACATGCTGAGCATAAATGCTACCATTACCTGAAGCTTCTCCAAAGTTTTGGATAATCATGATGAAAAAATCCAAATAATAAAGAACGCATCTAAAAGTGCAACTGGTAACACCAGAAAGAGTCCTGATTTTCCAGCAAAGTCATTGATATTACTGTTGTCGATTTTTATATCTCGCACGTGTATGGATCGTAACAAGTAATATAGTGGACCAATGAGTTCGAATATCGTTCACACGTGTACTATTATCTAACAATTGATTAAATTATTGCTAACTTTAATTTGATCGAAAACTAATAATAAAGTTTGTGATTGGTGTCTAATTATTATAATTAAACTTAATTATCTACCTACACAATTTATTGAAGTTTGGTTTTGAAAGTATGAATATGGATGCTATGACTTACAATTTTATCTATGGATCATCATTAATTCGTCAGTCAAGATTCATTACTATTGTAG